ACTCCAGAGATAGCCAAAGTAAGTTTGCAATTTGGACTCAAGCTGATATTTCCTTTCAGTCGGGATACACGACTAGTGAAAATAATTAGTTCTAACTTTGGTCATTATTTATTTTCAGTGGGTTCTCACCAAATTGGAGGATGCAAGAGAGAGTTTACCCAAGTACTGACTCTGAAGATTGAGAAGTGCTAAACACACGAGCTCTGTGTGTGCCAGTGCCTTTTTTTCTTTACTGCATGCTACCAAAAACATTTTTCTACCGTAGCTTTAGAGATTGAGTTTAACTTTCATTTCTGGATGTAAAGGAGGATTTGGGTGTAGAAATGTCAATCTTAACAGCGACTGATAGGGGAAAAAAAAAATCCCTCGAGTATCACTGAGGCCAAATTAACTGTAATTGTTGTAGCACATTTAATGCTAATATGAATTAGTATGACTTTATAGTACACATAATTCAAAAAATGTGCATCCTTAAAGTTCTTTTTCCTATTTTTATACATTGCAGAATAAAGACTGTTGAGTGTGTGAGTCAGAGATGCATGCTATTTTTATACTGTACTTACATGCATCAGTTTGCTGTATATGACCTAATATGATGTCTATCTGTATATATCCATCCTGGCATCAGACTTTATGAGGAGCTTGCAGTATGAAATTTTGTGATTTTTATGTTTTTATACCACACATATGCAATGCCAAACATGGTCTTGGGCGCATCACTGTTTAATATTACTACTGCTGCCATTAACATCGTTTTGTTTTCGGCGAACAAAATATTCACTGCGCTGGCTTTTTTTCCCATATTTTTTTTTCAATAAAAATAAAAGTTTTTTTTTAAATTTCAAAGCGGTCTTCATTTATTTCTCGCACCAAGAAAACATCAGGCACCTGACTTGTACTCTTTATTAAATAATTATATCTCTTTATTGAAAATAACCATAAATAGAAGAAACAGTTGTATTTTTTTTCCCAAAGCACATCTCAGACTATTTACATCTGACACTATGAACTCCGTGGCTCTGCTGACTGTCCTGAGTAAATAAGGCACTTACATGCGTCTCAGTGTTAGAGCAACCATTTCTAAACATTATGAAATCACAAAACCGGGCTAAAGAGCATCCTTGTCAAACTATTACATGGGGATACATTTACATACATTAAAGCACTCAGATCATATGTCTATTTAAATAAGTAGTTCACACAACGGGTCAGTTACTTGCTACTAATTTTCACTTTCTCATTTCCACTGTAAAGTATCATTTACAGCAAATACTAAAAAACTACAAGGGAAACTAAAGCATCTAAACACAATTTCATGTTAGTATGTCTGGTACAGGATGTTTGTATTCTCTCTTTTTTGGATCTCCCTTGTTAGAAATGAAACAATTTCAAATTTCTTTTTTTTGGTTTAAGCTTGATTGATAATTAGATTCTTTTCTATTTCGGCTTTCCTCAAGTCTTCTCTTGTATGCATTTGCTCCTGTGCTGTATGCAACCTTTCTACACCAGGTTGAAGTCCCCGAGGTTGTGCCTGAGGATGGCTGTTTTCACGTCCTTGAAGATTAAGCGGATGTTTTCTGTGTCCGTGGCGCAGGTGAAGTGAGAATACAACGTCTTGTCCTTCTCCGGGTTTTGTTCTTGGTACATTTTTAGGATGAATTTTTGAGCTGCTACTTGATCCTGCTGAGGTCCTGCAATTCAGGGTTGATATTATTTAAATATGTCAGTAAATTCAACATACGCTCACCAGACACTTGATTGGGTAGACTTGTTCAACTGCTTGTTAATGCAAATATCTAATCTGCCAATTACATGACAGGAACTCGATGCATTTTACGACCTGCTGAAGTTCAAACTGAGCATCAGAATGGGGAAGAAAAGTGATTTAAGTGACTTTAAATGTTGGTACCAAACAGGCTGGTCTGAGTATTTCAAATTTACTGAGACACAACCATCTGTAGTGTTTACAGTGAATAGTCTGAAAGTGAAAGATGATCTGTGAGTAGCAGTCCTCACAGAGGTCAGAGGAGAATGACCAGACACGATGATATAGTAACTAATGTTAATTAACTACTCATTTCAACCAAGGTATGCAGAAGTAGCATCTTCTGAAGCAGATGGTCTACAGCAGCAGAAGACCACACATGGTTACTCTGTCAGCCAAAAACACCAAACCAAAACTGAAATTCTAAGTCTTGATACTTAAAGATTAAAAATGTGTTTAAAAAAACAACAACAATCAGTTATTTTATTTTGAACAAATTATGGATTTTTAATGCAGAACAAATTTGGTGACTTTCTTGTGGGCTTGTATCAAGGAGGGAGGGGCGGAGCTTAGACTAATGATTGCCAATGTGGACCAAAATTCCTGCTGAATGTTTTCAGCTCCCTTTTAAATCTCAGCCATGAAGAATTAAACTAATTCTGATGGTAAAGGAGGTTCAACCTGGTACCAGCACAGTGTACCTAATATAGTGTCAGTTGAGTATTTTTAGTCTATTTCAACACTTCCATAAAAATGAGTACCGTGCAGCGATTGTATGATGAAGGACTTAATTAGATCAGCTAAGTAATTACAAATCTTGTGGTGGAATAAGAGCTGAAATCAAGATGAGCATTCACTCAGTCTAACCTGTGAATTCAGGGAAGTAGGTGGATATGTGAGAGTACAAGATCTTCTCCTTGAGGATGTCGGTCTTGTTGAGGAAAAGTATGACAGATGAGCGCTGGAACCAGGGGTAGGTGATGATGGTCTTGAACAGGGCCTTGCTCTCCTCCATGCGGTTCTGAGATGTTTAAAGGGATCAAGCACATGTAAAACTCCAGGAGGATGTAAACTGAAATCATCATTTGCTGTGTCGTTAAATTCTCACCTCATTGTCGCACTCAGCCAGGACCTGATCGTATTCGCTGAGTGCCACCAAGAAAATGATGGAGGTGACGTTCTCAAAGCAGTGGATCCACTTTCTCCGCTCTGATCTTTGACCACCCACATCAACCATCCTGTCATAAAAGCAGCCAAGAAAAGTCACGCCACCTTCGAGGTCGGTGCCATGCCTGTGGCCAGTTCCAGTGCTGCTGCTATTATTTTGGTTCATAGAGTATTTCAAAGTAGAAATGGAGGCAGAGCCTTCAGCTTTCAGGCCCCTCTTCTGTGGAACCAGCTCCCAGTTTGGATTTGGGATACAGACAGCCTCTCTACTTTTAAGATTAGATTTAAAACTTTGCTTTTTGATAAAGCATATAGTTAGGGCTGGATCCTACCTTAGTTATGCTACAATAGGTCTAGGCTGCATTGGCTTCCCATGAAGCACTGAGTGTTTCTTCTTCACTTACCTTTTACACATGTAAGGTGTCTACCTTAAGATATAAAGCACCTTGAGGCGACTGCTGTTGTCATTTAATGCTATATAAATTCAACTGAACTGAATTGAACTGAAACTCCAGAAATGCAGAAGATGTCAATATGCACCTCACCTGAAAATGACATTCTCCATGTCAAAGGGGTATTCAATGATACCAGTGGTTGGGACTCGGACTCTGAGGATGTCCTGAAGGTCAGGTATGTATGAGGGCTGTGAAATCCGATCCAGATCTGTGAGATAGCTAAAAAGAAAAATATGCAGGGAGAAAAAAAAAACACTAAGAAAGGAAAAATACAGAAAACATGTAGAAAACTTAAAATGTAAACCAAATTTGACTCTCAGGAAATACAGAACTTTGCTCCACTGTAAGAGACATCAAATGCTTTTTGTTTTGCTTCGATCCAATTTGCGATTTCCCAAAATAGTAAAAACAGCAAGCGAAAAAGCTCTTGCTCTTTTTTATTGGCCATCGTTCGATCGGGCAGTGACAGAGACGTATATTCAGCCTCTCAGGCGAGTACTAATTTGTTGTTCTGCTATCAGCAGGCACTCATCTATGTGGTCAGAAGGGACTCCTCCTTCTGCATGAATATTATACTCATTTAATAATCCTGTCAATATAATTTGATCTAGAAAAGTACAGAGATCTGCGCACACTGTTAAAGATCATAAATGCCTAATTCTCACTATTTGGTGGAGTCGGACAGCTGGTACTCCCTGCGCCGATCATAGCACTCCTGTATTCCAGGATCACCCCACAGACTCTTGACAGCCATGGCGAGGTTGCTATCTAAGTCCTTCACCTTATCCACCTCCACCTCCAGGACTGCGCTGGCATGGCTCTATGGAGACACCGAGAAGACAAAAAGACAGTGAGGTAACAATGAGGTAACAGTAACCATCCATCAAGTCTTTATTGTAAAGGACTGGAACAGAGTCAGTCTGCCTGTACCTGGTTCTGGGGATCAGTGAAAGATATACCAAGAGCCTCCATAGCTCGGACCATTGTCTGCATGGACGTGTAGATGTTCTGGTACACCAGCTTGGCATAGCTCCTCTTGTCCTCGTCTGTATATCCTCCTCCATGGATAATCCTCATTTGTTTGATAAAGGTGCTCTTTCCACTCTCTCCAGTGCCTGTGAGACACATTGAGGATTAAACTCAATAATAGATTTATTTGGTCTACAATTTTTTGCCTCGTTGCAAATTAACATTCTGCAAATCAAACCAAAGTAAACATCTGCTGGCTGCGTGAGCAGACGGGAATGCAGTTTTATGTCTAAGGTCTGTTTTTAAAAATCTGCATTCACGTGACAGCCTGTTTCTCAGCAGTGCTCATCGGTGCAGGATTTGACCATTTTAATTGTCATGTTTCTGAATTTTAAAGAAATCATGCTGATGAGTCAGTTACGACTGCTTTCATTGTCTTGATTTTGATGCCAGACAAAAGGTTCTCATAGTACCTAGAAGTATTTAAGTATCAAAACCACCAGTAATAACATTAGTCTAACTAGAGTACTTATTGTACAAGCAGATATTGTTATTATACTATAAATACTGAAATGTGTAAGCATTACTTATTTGCAGGTTGATATGGAGCTCATGTGTGCTGCTGAGAGCTACATAGATAATATTTTATTAAATGTATTGATATGCACACACTTACTAGAGAAATTCAATAATACTTTGAGTGGTGGAGGGGTGTTTAGAAAATGTATTATCTTTAGTACAGTATATGTAACTGCTGTGACATAGTCATTTCTCAGCTTTTGGGATAAATAAAGTATTTCTTATTCTTCTTATTTTTATTACTATTTTTTCAACTATGTTCTGTATAAACTTTACATTGTCTTGGTGTTACTTCCCATCAGGCATTCTGTTAAGAACAAATGTGTTTTTTTATTTATTGCTTGTCTCAAACATATTGTGTGTGTCTCATTGTGAAATGGCAGTGATCATAAGTGCTTTTTATTTTGTCATGCCTCTATAATTATTTGCCTTTGTTCCCTGCCTGAGCAAATCATCCCCAGAAGCCCTGCAAATGGTCCAGAATGTGGCTGTGAGGCTGCTCAACAGGTCCTCTAAAAGGTCCCATGTAACACCAGTGATGGGCAACAAGCAACAAGGTGATATATACCAGTGTTTAAATTGTGTTGATAGGCCACGTAAAACCAGAGTCATGATAAACAATACATACGCGGGTTTTTTCCTCAATAGTTTCGTCGCATTTACTGTCTAAGGACAGCGCTAGCAAGCACTCTCTGCTTATGAGCAAAAAATTAGGAAGAGGGGGAAGTTTTAGGAGTGACGGCGAGAGAGACAGCAGAAAAAGAGAGAGAGCGAGTTTTGAGATGTGAGAGATTTGTGACGTTTAGCGTGTTTGGAGTGTGTAGTTAATGTGTTGTCTTGTGTAGTTAGTGTGTAGTGTTGTGGATAGTTTTGTGTTGTGTGTCAGAACAATGAGGCGACTGCTGTCTCCAGGTAGAAACAGGAGTGATACACCTGCTGCTGTCAGACCTGCAGGTATCAGGCTGTGATGTTCTCCTTTATAGTGGACAGAAAATATTTGGAGTGGCACAAATAATTTGTGTGGCATCTTATTGAATGCAGAACAGCTGATTTTTCATGTAAATAGTTTGAAATGATTATTGTAAAAAAAGGGGTAAAAGGTAAATGGATGCAAATAACTTTGTTCTTTGCGCTCTGACAGAGGCGAGGCTGTGTCCAGCAGCCTCGCCTCTGTCAGTGTGCCCCAGGGTGGCTGTGGCTACAATGTAGCTTGCCATCAACAGTGTGTGAAGGTGTGTGTGAATGGGTGGATGACTGGATGTGTAACGCACTTTGGGGTCCTTAGGGACTAAGTAAAGTGCTATACAAATACAGACCATTTACCATTTGTTACAGTAAAAAATATAACTTTTTCTACTCTGATTTTATGTTTTTTGTCTGATTTTAGATCAATTGTGTTAATACAGTATGTCAAAATGAAAACATAACTGTAAATTCAGACACGTGAGGTTGTGCTGAAAAGAATGATACCAAACAAGGCAAAGTAAATAGTTTTTAAAGGTGAAATGTAGAGGAAACATCAAAAGTAGAAAAATGGCCAATTAAAGCATTTTTTTTAAAGTAACGCAATAGTTACTTTTCAAGTAATTAATTACTTTTAGAATCTTGTAACTCAGTTACTAACTCAGTTACTTTTTTGAAGAAGTAACTAGTAACTATAATTAATTACTTTTTCAAAGTAACTTGCCCAATGTGACACCGATTCTTTCTTCTTTACGCTGACTTCCAAAATTTTAGTGATCACTTTGGGTCTGAACCATTTAACAGAGAGGCTGTGCCTCAAGAGCTAGAGCAGGTCATTTTGATCCGCGGCTGCTCCGCTCTGCATGCCAAACTATCCTGGAGAAAGATACTGAACCTTGAGTTGTTGTGTGTGGTCAGTGCTAGCTAGATGTTTGGCCTTTAATTGTGCTAATTAAATTGGAAATGGACTGGTTTATTTCCAGTTTACTATGGTCAGTTGCCTCCATGTATTAGTAAATTACAACATTCATATGCAAATACGAGATCTTTGAGGTCAGCTGATCAGAGCTTGCTGGTGGTATTGGTCCAGGTTAAAGATAAAAGACGAGCCTAATTTTCTACTCTTCATTTATCCCAAGAGAAGATATTATGGCCACTGCAAGCAAGCAAATTTAGCTCTCTGCTGCAAAGACACAAACGAAAAAGTCATGGGAGTCTCTATCCCTCCTTACAGTGACAATTTTAAACTTGAAGTTGTCTACGATACAGTAAAATGTACCCCTGCCCAGTGTCATGCATCCATGCCCCTTCTGCAAGAGCATAAAGTTTATATATACTTTAAAATATTACTGAGCTGCATCCTGGTGAGTTATTACTGCAACTCAATATTTATAATATTTACATTAAAAAAGATCCAAATTTGAATTATTACGTGTGATGTTGCACAGGTGTTGCATACTGTATGCCAGCTGGCAGCTGCCTGGCAGCTACATTAAAGACCCATCTGTCTTTTTATGAACAACTTTTTACTAAGAGATAAGTTGAAAGAAATAAAAACAAGTTCTGTGACAACTCTCAATACCCAGCTTGTCCACGCAGGGACGCAAGCTGAACGATTTGAATGTATATTTGACTGCCAAAGGGACACTCGCCAATATCCGAGAATAGGAAGTTTAAATATCACAAATTGCCCGAAATAAAATTCAACATATCATTCATAGCTTTAGTTTCACTGGTTGAATAAAATATTTTAGTCAACCTTACATAATTTGCTTCTGAAAAATGACCTTCCTTTGGTCAGATGGAAAAATAAATAAAACAAAAGCCCTCCTAACTTCCAATAATAAATTCAACAAGAACGGTGCACTTTTTCACCCTGAAACCTTTCCTGAGTGACAGGATCAGATGCACGCTTAATAACTCAGAGACTCGGTGTGTATTTGGACTCAAGCTCTCCATCTAAAAGGTCTTTCGATTAACTTATATTTCACTAAAACATACTTTACTCGTTCTTATTAAAAGGTATCAAACACACACACACACACAAATACCAACACACACACACACACACACACACACACACACACACACACACACACACACACACACACATACACACACACACACAGAAGAGAGTCCCTTTCTGCCATGTTACTCTTCAGCTCTTACAGCAAAAGCTCGTAATTTTCTCATTGAGATCACATGATGCACAGCCGATTTCGTTAACAAATGTGTTTGTTGACAGACCTGAATATTGGAGGTTGCTGTGTTTGTGTATGTGTGGATTTATGCAGGGATGGGTGGGGAGTTTCACCTTGTGGGCATTTGTTGTGTGCGTGTGTGTGTCAGCTCCTTGGTTCCCAGCTGTTTTGCATGTCATCATCTTTACATCTTAACAAACAAATCTTAGACAAATTGTGTGCATTTGCATGCACCTTGTTTACAAGTCAAGTTTCTTGGAGATGAGATCATTTTGGAGAAGAAGGAGAGGCAGGTGCTCAGATTGGAGGCAAATCAGGCTGGACCTCAAGGAGGGAGGTTAACGAGCTCAGACTGCATGTATTCATGTCACATTATTCAGTTAATGCTTTATTCAGTTAATCTTTGCCCTTGATCTGTGACAAATCTTTGCCATCATCATCTCTAGAATGAACTTTTGATAGTTCTCTATTTGTCAATATCATTCTTGATTAACTTGCCAATCAGTCAAATTTCTTTTACCATTTGAATTTGTTTTAGTGAAATGGTGCTGATTTCAAAGAGGATTTTTAAAAAAAAAAAAATTAAAGGATAGTCAAGCTATAAAAACTGACGAATCACTTCACTGTCCCTCCAGAATGTTCTTCCTCAGACGCCACTGGTAGAAGCTACAGTAGATATAAACTTTGACAACTGACCCCATGAATGATTTTCAATTCAAATAGTCTGTCAGATACAAAAAGGTTTGAAACACCAATCACAAAAAATGTCATTCACGTTGCAGTCTGGGATGTCCAAGATATCTTATAGTACGTGCCAGTTTAGCTCAGTGCGTTGAGCAGGCAACCACAAGGCTGAGAATGGCCGGCCAAGGTTCAAGTCTGACCCATGGCCCTTTAGCCATTTGTCTTCCCCTCTCTTTCTCTCCCTCCCGTCACCTTCCTGTCATTTCTTCACTGTATATGTCAATAAAGCTGAAAAAGACTTATTGAGCTGGACTCTTGACTTATCTTGATTCCTGGACACGTGCGTGTGTGCGTGGTGCAGAGTCAGGTTTTACAATTTCCTTGTGACCGATTAATGCCGGCTACAGAAGTCTCCACAGACTGGCGGCCAACATGAAATAGCTACACACATATAACAGATTTGACCACAAGCCCAAACACAGCTTCATATCTGCACACTTCCTCGATCGGGGAACGCTGTAACACGAGGTGATGGTGCCCGTGTGAATGAATGTGGTGTTAGTGTCATGAGATAACGGCTACTACCACCTGTCAAACTCTGCCCTGTCCCTTTTTTTCACAACTGAAATGTACCTGCCAGGCAGCGACTGTGCAGAGGCACAAAACAAAAAACATGAGAAGTCACTAATCTGCAAAATTTGACTTTTAAAAACAACAACAAAAAAAGAGATCCAGCAGATCTACTGCTACATTCAAACATCTTCCAGCTAAAAGTAACAGAAAAAACAACACTTCTTCCAAAAAGAAGAACCAAACAGTATTTCAGTGTCTATATATGTAAATGTATGTATAGATATTTGAGGGTATATATCGATATATCGAGGGCATATATCCATATTTGTAAGTGTGCGCATGTGCATTTATACATGTTTATATGCATATATAGTATAAATATTATAATATAATCTCTTGCACTCTCAGTAGACCTGACTCTGACCATCCTAATGAAATCCACTGAGAGCTGAGTCACTCTGACCAGGTAACAAAAGGTTACTTTCTAGATCATGGCTGTCATACTCCTTTTACACTGTGGCCCACACAGAGCCCTGTTTGATCTTAGTTTGATCTCAGTAGATTTATTACCTGGAAAAGAAAACCCTCCAAATCATTCCTTCTTCTGTCTGTGTAAAGACATTTAAGTATACATTAAGTACCTCAGAAAGCAACAGAAACACTCCAACGTGACTCTTTGTTCTCACACTTTAAGAAAGGAGAATGATGATGAAATGCTTAAAAATGACAGAAAGAAGCAGTTTATTTCCCAGACTCTATCCTGCAGACTGACTTTGCTGCAGCATGACCGGGCAGTTGGTGTCTTTGTCGCTAAAAAAGCTTTAAAAAAATACACTTTGAATGATAACATTTATGTCCTTCTTTTTTGCAATTACCACATTATCCAAAGTTATTTAGGGAGCCGAGTTGGGCTCTTTGATGGCCAGGTTCTGGGCCCTGGGCCTTATGTTTGACACTCCTTCAGCCTGAACAGAGACTCCAGGGTCATCCTTTTTTCTGGAAAGTTGTTTCACTCCACTTTTTGACTTCTCTCAACTACCTTTGTGATGTGTTAAACAAAACTGCTGGAGTCCAGCTGTCTGTAACAGCCTTCAGTGAGCTGAGAAAATGTTTTTTCTTTTAAAGCAAATGAATGTTGGCTTGCAGGCAGAAACATAACGCTGTGTTTTGAGTGAAATGATCTGCTAAAAGAACAGTTGGTAAAAACCAATAGCTCGTGCTCCGTGATGCATTTGCATGACGTTTGCATGAAATGCGCCCGCAGCAGCTAGTTATGGCTTTCAAACACACCACTGACCGAGGCGTGGATGGCGACTGCGTTCCTGAAGTGCTCCCACACTGCTGCAGTAAAATGTGCCTGATACATGTTCAGCAAGTTTCCTCTGGATCGGGAAGCCGCTTCCATAAACTTATATAACCCTATAGCAACGAGCATATGAGTAGGAAGTGTGTGTGTGTGTGTGTGTGTGTGTGTGTGTGTGATGAGGTTAAGGCTCTATTACCACGCCTTAACGCTTTCCACAGGTCATCACGAACAGGACTGTGTAAAAGTGTTGTAAAGTAAAGGAACGGATATCATTTTGAACGATCCGTTTTCTCTCTGTCTGTCTGTCTGTCTGTGTCCATTTTCGGCATTTCTGTGGCCAGGTGGAAACTTAGCAACCCCAGCAGACAAAAAGTACTCAAGGATTCAAACCCCCGACCACGCGTAAAATCAATGGCAGTGCCATGGCGCGCGGCTGCGCATACCCTGGATGTTCTCGGAAAGCCAGTGCGCCTCAACTGTGAAACGCTGCTCATGACTTGAATCCTCTCATGTAGCCACACGTGGCAATGACAAAATGTAGCGTGCTGGATATAATGTATATAAAATTATATATTTGCCTTCTAAAGTGTGCATTTTACTTTCATATGACTAAATGAATACTAGTCGACAGGCGTCAGAGCTCTGTCCCACCTGCCACGATACCCGTGGCCAGGTGTGGCCAGGAAGCGGTGAAATGGCAATTGCCGAGCCGTCTCCAAAATCCCCCACAACTGAAAATGAAAACGCCTGGATCCTTCCGCTAGAGGAACAACTTTAAGAGCAAATGTTTTAAAGCTTTTCTTTTGCCCGGAAAAGAACATCTATGACTACAATCTAGATAAAACTTTTGAATGATTTACAGCAGAGCACGAGGAGAATGAGGAGGACTCCGTGAAGTCAGTTACCCTCCGAGCTGGTGTTCAGGTTAGTGATGCTCACCTAAAAGCAGCAACTTGAGCTCCCTGCGAGAGTCCTTCTTGTCCCTCCGCAGCTGCTTCTCAATCTCCTCGTTGATCCTCTGGTTCTCTCTCTCCTCCGCTGAAACACAGCATCCAGCCATCGCTGAAAGTCACCAGGTTGCTCTCCAACGACCACTCGGCTGTAAAAATGTCGCAGGCTTTGATTAAAGACAGAAAAAAAAGAAAAAGGAAACTCAGACGTGTTAAAAAAATACTCCTTTGCCCCCTCTTGCACTTCACAACTTCAGACGCAAAAAGGCACAGAGCATCTTCAAAACTGCGCCTTTGACTTCCACAGAAACAGAAAAGTTTGCTGCTAAAATATAAAGTGCTAGATTTCAGGGGTAAGTCCAAAGCTCTCTCTCTGTTTTACTTAAGCATCGAGGTGTACAACAAGGTGCACCACGAGCTGTTCCTATTGGACAAAGTGCTGCAGTTATACTCTACCTGGACGACACTTCAGCTTTATCCTGACGAATCGGGAGGGAGTGGCACCGGCTACAAATAGAAAAGGATAAAATGGGAAGTTCGCTGCCACAACCTGTGGAAACGGTGAGCGATGAGGAATTCACCTGTAGATGAGTTTTAATCGGACATGGAGTGCCATAGCTCATTCTTGGAAGTGCTCCATGCTGTGCTCGCTTTCCTTGGAAGTTTCTATAATATCACACTCGCAATTCATGAGATCCAGGGACAGGAAACGCATTTAGCAGTTCGGCAGCAGGGAGGAGGCAGGGCCCCTCTGGCTGGCCCTCACGCCCGCTAGAGGGCGGGAAGGCCAACAGTGAAGGAATGAGTGTTTTGCACCCGTTTTGTGATCTTGCAGCAGGGTTTTTGAGAATATAAGCGAGGTAATCACAGCATTTATCCAGAGTATAAGCAGTCAGTGGTGGCAGTATATATGTCGAATGATCACAAGTAGCGAAAAGTTCACATCTATAACAACTAATTAAAATATGAGGATTCTTTTTTTTACTTTAAGATGCCTGGAAAACTGTTTTTCCAGTTCACAAAGAAAGAAGTACTAAGACTCTGGATATGAAGTTAAATAAGTGTTCTACCCTTCAAGTGGTACTTTTAAAAGAAGCAAGTTTCTCCCCGAAACAGAGCCAGTAAACACTTCTCGCTCTTTGGGTCTCATTAATATTAATAATAATAATAATAATAATAATAATAATAATAACAACAATGGATTGTATTTATATAGCACTTTTCGGGGCCCTCAAAGCGCTTTACAATTCCACTATTCATTCACTCTCACACTCTCTCTCTCACACACACACACACTGGTGGAGTCACGATGGCCCCAGATTATAATTAATAAAACAGCATTCTCTGAAAACATTACCCTGAACTTAACCAACCCTTTTCTTTTTCTCAGAAAAAGTTGAAAACTAAACAACTAAAGTTGTAAATTAGTGTTAGATAAAACAAATAATCACAAGCAGTCTTCAGGCAGTTTACTCTCCATTTATCATCAAAGCTGAGCATGTAGTGGGAACAGTTTAGAACAAAGTTTTCGCTCCCATTTAAAATGAAGATTGTGAATTAAGACCACATCTGATTTTTTCTCCCCGTCTATCTTTTTTAACCATCTGACAGAGAAAAAGACCTCATATTTCATCCTTTCAGTGGTGAGCCTTACAGTATCTTCGGTCCATTAAACTGGCCTTTGTAGGGTTTAGTTCTACTTTACAAGATTCGCTTAAACTACGCTCTTGGTGCTTGCAGAAGTTTGTAACACAAACTGTATTTAAAATTCAAAACCACTCGGGTGACCTGATCAAACATATTCAAAAACATCGAAATGAAACTACAGTGTAGAGGTGATCACAGGAAAAAGGTTTTTAAAAATCACAGTCGACAAGAGTTGAAAAGAAATATGTTGCTTCATTCAGAAACAAGTTGAAGGAGTGCGAATTTATGAATACAGGAAACAATTTTACACAATTATGATTGGAGATCATCATAACACTATTTCAAAAATGGTCATCAAACTTCATATATTAAGGATTCGGATGCAAATAAACCCAAAAGAAAAAAAAAAACAGAGCTGAAAGCAATAAAAATGATGTGTCTGACACTTCAGTAAAAGAGGAGTTTATGGGTTGCTTTCCCCCACTCTCACTCCCACCTCCCACCCTTTAGTTCTCAGTGTACTGTACACAACACTGTACTGCTCTTGAACATACTGCATGAACTCTGAACAGCAGCGGAGGTGGCCGACAATGTGTGTCACCATGTCAACGTCAGCTGGAGTCTTGGCTCTCTTAAAGGGGAAAATCCAGGCTCAGCATAGCTCACGTGTGCTCACTCCAAACAATGACAGGAGCGCCAACCCTCGCAAATCTTGGAAACAAGTCCTGCGTGGCTCACATTTATGACAAAGCCCATAATGTGCATTTCTGCAAGTTGAGATATATTTCTTATTCACTGTCTGACAAAATCTAAACGTTAACGTGAGATCTCGGATCAGCTGAAATCTCAGCTGATCCGAGATCCTTTTTTAAGGCTCGCATAAGCGTGCAGTTGCTGTTCTGTATGCTGAAAGCAAAATGTGGTTTATTTTTATTTATTTTAGTTTATTTTTGAAGCAAGGATTGTCCCTTTAAGTAGCAGGGTTTGTGTGAACAGCCACCTTTTGACAGCAGGGAAACAAAATCAGATATCACTGCAAATCTATAATTGAAGATCATTAGCACTGATGAAGCTGAAATCTTAGTTCAGCTTCAAAACATTCATCCCTGGCAACATCTGACACAAACTGGCCCCAAATATCAGTCCTGTTAGGCCTGGCTGTTGATAAGTGGTTACTGTAAGATCTTCACTGAATTCAATCATATCACTGAAAATTAACTTGTCACCTGCCAAACTCAACCATCCATGTATGGAATTTCACCAGCCAGCTGAAATACCTGAAAACAACAGGACCTCCAAACGAGGGCTGGTAACCTGCCAGAGTGGCTGGCAGACGCCAAAACACAGCCAAATGTGGAAAAAAAAACACAACACCCAGCAGGTGGCCGCCGGTGGGTTGAGTCCAGATTGTGACACCTTTTCAAGCACATTCTACACATCCTGATGCGTAGGAGCAAATGCTGCTTTAATCTGGCAGCTTCGTGCCTTAAGACGCACCCTGCTGTGGGTTTTAAGACAAGAATCTGATGTGACAACATTATGAAAACAACAGAAAGCGTGTTCTGATTACAACTCAGTCACAATGTGCATAAAATATCATGTATTTATGTGACATTAGCTACATGAGAGCTACACTTCAAAGCTGTTTCTTTTCAGCACAGAGTGACAGTGGAAAAGACCACCGAGCCAAAAAAACACCCTGAACAACCCTCCAGCTGCACAACAGGACAATATCGGCTGCACTAGCTTCACTTCTCGAAAAAACACAGGTGCCTCACATGGGACGTCTGAGGCACAGCTTATTCAGTAAGGCAATATGTACACATGAACTGTATTTTTCTCTTATGCTGTCGTTTCATAAATAAAGTCTAAAATAATACTGTACATTCTGGTGAAACAGTGGCAATCAAAGGTGGAAATGAAGTAAAAAAAATAATAATACAAGTAAAAATGAAACAAAGCACCTTGCTAATCAGGCCAATTGGTTAAGTCATTTCTTGCACTTTTGTGTACACGGAATCAGTACTGAGTTTTTAACAGTATCTGGGAGAATAGGGGAAAAAACAACAACAACAACACAACAACAAAACATGTTGGCATTCCATTAACATAAACAAAAAGATAATTACAACTTTGTAACACAGTTTTTTTTTTCTTATCAAAAAAAAAAAAAAAAAAAAAAAATCAGACACAAAGCGACAGATTGCCTGCCCGCACCTCCCGCTCCTGCACTACAAAACAGTTTGGCTACAAATGGAGGCAGGTTGGTTTTGGTGGTGGTCGAAGTGGGGATGAGAAGTGTGCAGGAAGTGCAAGGCTTGTTAATCAATACTGGTTGAAAAGCGGTGAAAAGAAACGAAACGTAAAAGACATGGGCAAGAGAAGACGTCATTACACGTATGTGACGAGCGCTCTGTTCCTGAAGCCAGTTAAGAACTAAACTATTACAATTAGCCCTGTAGATTAGATTCAGTTTGCAGTTGGGGTTTTTTTGTGTGTTTTTCCCATATAAAAATCAATTTAACAAAACTGCTAGTACTGGCACACCAATTGATCTGTTCTCGGATAATAATATTCCTCTTTTTGCAGTTCTGAAGCTAAACGATGTTTCGTCGCTGAGAAATCAAACTGCCATAACACAAAATTTACATTCTCCTCTTACAAAAACAAATCAAAACAAACATGTAAATAACTTTGTTTTCCTTCCATAAACGAATTAGCCATTAGACATACAATACAATTACATAGATACATATTTTCAATACCGCACATTCAATCTGCCAAAAAACAAACAAACAAAACAAATAAAAACAACAAAAAAAGTAATGATTAAAAAGCCAACAAAGATGCTGCAATATATATAGAGAGAGATGTATGTACAATGATTATAGCATTCATAATTGCACTATGCCTCAATAAATGTTAATTACAGGCTTATGATCTAGGGAAGTGTTACGAAAGAAATAAAAATAAAAAAAGTACTCAAAGTAAGTCGGGGAATGAAGGATTGCAGATCAGAAATGCCAATTAGAAACAAGAAGGGCTCACTTTGGTACAACTGAACGTCGACACTTTACCTTTCACACAGGAACTAGCCAGATTTACTCTCCACTGCTATTCAACTACAACAGTCAAGACAGCCGGGCTGTGATTGGACAATTACAAAGATACAGCTAAAATGCGACTCAATAAGTCTGCAGGCTGGCGCGGGCTTGGAGGGAGGGGCCTGCAGCCCACGGCGCAAGGTTGCGATTGGATAATTTTAGGCAGTTCAACGCGCCGGGTTTAGCTGCGCCGGTGTAGCTGCCCCTTCTTTCAGAGCCCACGAGCTCGCTGTAGCTCAGGTTAGTCCATGCTGGGTCGGTGTGTCGGGGGTGGGAAGAATACCGCAGATTGTGTTGAACACTTCAAAAAAATATGAAATAAATGTATTTAAAAAAAAAAAAAAAAAGAAAGAAAAGAAAACCTCCAGGGTCGATACGTCGGGTCGGTAGAGTCAGTCAGTGTTTGTTAGCCCTGCTCTTTCCTGTCTGCAACACTTTTCTTTTCAGTGAACAGCTGTGGAGTCTGGGCCTCTGTCCCTCTCACTCATTCACTCTTTTTTTTTGGCATTTGGCAATAAATATACATGTTACCATAATAAAAAGCGTTAATGTGGCACAGTTGAACATAATCATTTAAACATATCGTCTGATAAATTATTACCTCCTCGGCTCCCTTCAGTTTGTGTAAAGTGACCGCTGCCATGGTTCATCTTTACACGACAAAGCAGAAGTCCCTGTGTGCTTCCCCACTTTGTTGCTCAAAGCTTTTTTTCCTTCTTTTTTTTTAATTTTCAAAGCCTTTTTCACTCACATTTCTCAACTTCTATCGACAGCTGAAAACCATGACACGACCATCACTTGACACACGACTTGGGTTGTTCCCTCCAAACACATGCTCGACTCACTGAATGGCACCAAAAGCCAATGCAAAGTAAATTAATAAAGATCTAAGCCACTCGCATATATTAAATGAATTTTAAATCATTTTAAAAGAGATCACAAATTCTGCCTACTCATCAAAAGACTTGCCAATCAGTCTATCAGATTAAAAAAATAAATTAAAAAATGAAGCCATCTAACTTATCACTCCTTGCTGGGCAAACAGGTAAACGCCCATGATGAAGCTTCAGAATGAAACAACAGGTAAGGAAGAAGGCTAAAAAAGGAATTCAAACTTTTTTTTCTTCTTCTTTTTTTTTTTATAAAAAAGGCAGGAGGGAGACAGAAACACACTGCATTCATTTGAGCGCCTTCCACCCAACCCTCGCGAATATCCTGTCCCCACTTTTTCATCACTTCTTAAATAGCAAGATAACATTTACTTCGCTCACCCCTCGAGGAGTCAAGAGATCAGCAGACAGCAAATAAATTAGTATTATGCAACCATTAGATTTTTTTTTTTTAAATGTGTGTGTGTATATATGATCTATCTTTTCACAGATTGCATCAGTCAGTGTGTGCTGAGGGCCTGCAATCGGAACACCCTGCTCCGCCCTGCTCTACACCAGGTTGTACTCCTTTAGGTTGAGCTGCAGGATGGTGTCTTTGACGGCTGCAAAGACGAAACGGATGTTCTCTGTGTCAGTGGCGCAGGTGAAGTGAGAGTAGATGATCTTGTCGCTGTCTGGATTCAGGTCCACAAACATCTTGAGGATAAACTCTCGCCCTGCTTGGGCATCCCTCTGCGGACCTGCATGGGGGAATATCGTGGATCAGTATATATGCACAGCTATAAATTACTACGGCTTGTTTATCATTCATAATATCAGTGTGGAGATCCTCCATGTTTTTGTTTTTTTTCATGGTTTTTCCCTGCCATACTTGTCGGATCATTCCAATTTACGCACCATGACTGTATCTCAGGTCTGCCAGCCGAAGATTTTTATTTGCCCTAGAGCTCAAGCTAAAAACATTGTGGAGCTTCAGGTAGTACTTAGAAAACTTTACTCACTGCAGTATAGCGACGTGCCCTCAAATCTCTACCTGTGCACATTTCACATTATGTGTTAATTGGTACACTTTGTTTTTTTTAAGCTCTACATGTATGTGAGTGATGCTGAGTCAATGGCAGGAGCGCAAATTACTGATCTTATAAGTAAGTTTCTGGTGCAAAAAACTACAAAGGGCAAAATTCAAAGCAAATACTGTTACATTTTCCCAGAAGAAATGTTTGCACACCTCTCTTCTGTGGCTTAATTATTTGACTCACCCAAAACTAACAGATATACATAAGAAAGAGAATATCATGGGGCAACCAGTTAAGCTTCAGTCTAACATCATTTTCTTTTCTTTCTAAAGCTGCACACTTTAAAATACCAAAGCTATGAGCTTTGAATGCTGTAACACTTTCTTTATGTACTTTTATCATGTCCCCACAACAGTAAAATACCGATACAATTAGTCCATGGTGCACAGTGCATGGCAAATGTGGTAGCGTAGTACACTGTTTGCTGTAATGCTGTCAAATTATGTATGACTAATGTAAACAAGCTGTCACGCTGAAGGCATTTTTCCATCAATTCTCCGCACTGCTTGAAGTCTTATATTTGATCCAAGACGTTGTAATCTGTTAAAAATCCCCATTTACAAAGGTTCGTGCTCAAAGTTCCATTTACAGTTAGAACGATCTTTCAGATACAGAGTTAGAAATAGCACCAATGATGCAGTACGTGAGAAACACTCAATGCTTTTGTCATTGTGACCAATCATAGCTGGCCTTTAAATAGACAGGAACTAATGTGGAGCAAGAATTACATATTAAATCTGTTCTAGTGCACTCCAGAAATAAAATTATGACCTTGTCATTAGCACAAAAGGGCCACTTTAAAGCACTTGAAATCTGCATCACTTGATATCGAGTTTGAAATATTTTTTCGGCATTTATTTCCTTAAATCAAATATGTGTAATAAAAAAAAAGAAAAATAGCAGAGATTACTCTGATACATTAAAAGCTGTGTATCAGATATTATACTGTAAGCAGAAATTTCCTGCCATGGTTAACCTGTCAGCTCTACAAACTAGTTCTAATGGACCCCCAGTCACACTTGCATGGAGAGCTGAAGATGAGCATTCACTCAGTCTAACCTGTGAATTCAGGGAAGTAGGTGGATATGTGAGAGTACAAGATCTTCTCCTTGAGGATGTCGGTCTTGTTGAGGAAAAGTATGACAGATGAGCGCTGGAACCAGGGGTAGGTGATGATGGTCTTGAACAGGGCCTTGCTCTCCTCCATGCGGTTCTGAGATGTTTAAAGGGATCAAGCACATGTAAAACTCCAGGAGGATGTAAACTGAAATCATCATTTGCTGTGTCGTTAAATTCTCACCTCATTGTCGCACTCAGCCAGGACCTGATCGTATTCGCTGAGTGCCACCAAGAAAATGATGGAGGTGACGTTCTCAAAGCAGTGGATCCACTTTCTCCGCTCTGATCTTTGACCACCCACATCAACCATCCTGTCATAAAAGCAGCCAAGAAAAGTCACGCCACCTTCGAGGTCGGTGCCATGCCTGTGGCCAGTTCCAGTGCTGCTGCTATTATTTTGGTTCATAGAGTATTTCAAAGTAGAATGGGAGGCAGAGCCTTCAGCTTTCAGGCCCCTCTTCTGTGGAACCAGCTCCCAGTTTGGATTTGGGATACAGACAGCCTCTCTACTTTTAAGATTAGATTTAAAACTTTGCTTTTTGATAAAGCATATAGTTAGGGCTGGATCCTACCTTAGTTATGCTACAATAGGTCTAGGCTGCATTGGCTTCCCATGAAGCACTGAGTGTTTCTTCTTCACTTACCTTTTACACATGTAAGGTGTCTACCTTAAGATATAAAGCACCTTGAGGCGACTGCTGTTGTCATTTAATGCTATATAAATTCAACTGAACTGAATTGAACTGAAACTCAGAAGATGCAGAAGATGTCAATATGCACCTCACCTGAAAATGACATTCTCCATGTCAAAGGGGTATTCAATGATACCAGTGGTTGGGACTCGGACTCTGAGGATGTCCTGAAGGTCAGGTATGTATGAGGGCTGTGAAATCCGATCCAGATCTGTGAGATAGCTAAAAAGAAAAATATGCAGGGAGAAAAAAAAACACTAAGAAAGGAAAAATACAGAAAACACGTAGAAAACTTAAAATGTAAACCAAACTCTCAAGGGAAATGAAGACTTTGCTCCAATGCAAGAGAACAAATACTTTTTGTTTTAGCTTCGATCAAATTTGCATTTCCCAAAATAGTAAAAACAGCAAGCCGAAAAAAAGCTCTTCTCTTTTTATTGCCATCGTTCGTGGCAGTGACAGAGACTATATTCAGCAAGATTTTTGTTCTTCTATCAGCAGGCACTCATCTATGTGGTCAGAAGGGACTCCTCCTTCTGCATGAATATTATACTCATTTAATAATCCTGTCAATATAATTTGATCTAGAAAAGTACAGAGATCTGCGCACACTGTTAAAGATCATAAATGCCTAATTCTCACTATTTGGTGGAGTCGGACAGCTGGTACTCCCTGCGCCGATCATAGCACTCCTGTATTCCAGGATCACCCCACAGACTCTTGACAGCCATGGCGAGGTTGCTATCTAAGTCCTCCACCTTATCCACCTCCACCTCCAGGACTGCGCTGGCATGGCTCTATGGAGACACCGAGAAGACAAAAAGACAGTGAGGTAACAATGAGGTAACAGTAACCATCCATCAAGTCTTTATTGTAAAGGACTGGAACAGAGTCAGTCTGCCTGTACCTGGTTCTGGGGATCAGTGAAAGATATACCAAGAGCCTCCATAGCTCGGACCATTGTCTGCATGGACGTGTAGATGTTCTGGTACACCAGCTTGGCATAGCTCCTCTTGTCCTCGTCTGTATATCCTCCTCCATGGATAATCCTCATTTGTTTGATAAAGGTGCTCTTTCCACTCTCTCCAGTGCCTGTGAGACACATTGAGGATTAAACTCAATAATAGATTTATTTGGTCTACAATTTTTTGCCTCGTTGCAAATTAACATTCTGCAAATCAAACCAAAGTAAACATCTGCTGGCTGCGTGAGCAGACGGGAATGCAGTTTTATGTCTAAGGTCTGTTTTTAAAAATCTGCATTCACGTGACAGCCTGTTTCTCAGCAGTGCTCATCGGTGCAGGATTTGACCATTTTAATTGTCATGTTTCTGAATTTTAAAGAAATCATGCTGATGAGTCAGTTACGACTGCTTTCATTGTCTTGATTTTGATGCCAGACAAAAGGTTCTCATAGTACCTAGAAGTATTTAAGTATCAAAACCACCAGTAATAACATTAGTCTAACTAGAGTACTTATTGTACAAGCAGATATTGTTATTATACTATAAATACTGAAATGTGTAAGCATTACTTATTTGCAGGTTGATATGGAGCTCATGTGTGCTGCTGAGAGCTACATAGATAATATTTTATTAAATGTATTGATATGCACACACTTACTAGAGAAATTCAATAATACTTTGAGTGGTGGAGGGGTGTTTAGAAAATGTATTATCTTTAGTACAGTATATGTAACTGCTGTGACATAGTCATTTCTCAGCTTTTGGGATAAATAAAGTATTTCTTATTCTTCTTATTTTTATTACTATTTTTTCAACTATGTTCTGTATAAACTTTACATTGTCTTGGTGTTACTTCCCATCAGGCATTCTGTTAAGAACAAATGTGTTTTTTTATTTATTGCTTGTCTCAAACATATTGTGTGTGTCTCATTGTGAAATGGCAGTGATCATAAGTGCTTTTTATTTTGTCATGCCTCTATAATTATTTGCCTTTGTTCCCTGCCTGAGCAAATCATCCCCAGAAGCCCTGCAAATGGTCCAGAATGTGGCTGTGAGGCTGCTCAACAGGTCCTCTAAAAGGTCCCATGTAACACCAGTGATGGGCAACAAGCAACAAGGTGATATATACCAGTGTTTAAATTGTGTTGATAGGCCACGTAAAATCAGAGTCATGATAAACAATACATACGCGGTGTTTTTCCCTGAATAGTTTCTCCAAGTTTACTGTCTAAACTTAACATAAGCACTCTCTGCTTATGAGCAAAAAAAGTTTAGGAAGAGGGGGAAGTTTTAGGAGTGACGGCGAGAAAGACAGACAACAGAAAAAGAGAGAGAGCGAGTTTGTAGATGTGAGAGATTTGTGACGTTTAGCGTGTTTGGAGTGTGTAGTTAATGTGTTGTCCTGTGTAGTTAGTGTGTGGTGTTGTGGATAGTTTTGTGTTGTGTGTCAAAACAATGAGGCGACTGCCATCTCAAGGTGTAAAAAAAACCCCAAAAAAAAACCAAAACAGGAGGAGTGATACACCTGCTGCTGTCAGACCTGCAGGTGTCAGACAGTGATGTTCTCCTTTATAGTGGACAGAAATATTTGGAGTGGCACAAATAATTTGTGTGGCATCTTATTGAATGCAGAACAGCTGATTGTTATGTAAATAGTTTGAAATGATTATTGTAAAAAAAAGGGGTAAAAGGTAAATGGATGCAAATAACTTTGTTCTTTGCGCTCTGACAGAGGCGAGGCTGTGTCCGGCAGCCTCGCCTCTGTCAGTGTGCCCCAGGGTGGCTGTGGCTACAATGTAGCTTGCCATCAACAGTGTGTGAAGGTGTGTGTGAATGGGTGGATGACTGGATGTGTAACGCACTTTGGGGTCCTTAGGGACTAAGTAAAGTGCTATACAAATACAGACCATTTACCATTTGTTACAGTAAAAAATATAACTTTCTACTCTGATTTTATGTTTTTTATGTCTGATTTTAGATCAATTGTGTTAATACAGTATGTCAAAATGAAAACACAACTGTTAATTCAGACACGTGAGGTTGTGCTGAAAAGAATGATACCGAACAAGGCAAATAAACTGTTTTTAAAGGTGAAATGTAGAGGAAACATCAGAAGTAGTCAAACATGGCCAATTAAACTTTTTTTTTAAAAGTAACGCAATAGTTGCTTTTCAAGTAATTAATTACTTTTAGAATCTTGTAACTCAGTTACTAACTCAGTTACTTTTTTGAAGAAGTAACTAGTAACTATAATTAATTACTTTTTCAAAGTAACTTGCCCAACACTGTGAAACACCCATTCTGTCTTCTTTAGGCTCGCTTCCAAAATTTTAGTGATCACTTTGGGTCTGAACCATTTAACAGAGAGGCTGTGCCTCAAGAGCTAGAGCAGGTCATTTTGATCCGCGGCTGCTCCGCTCTGCATGCCAAACTATCCTGGAGAAAGATACTGAACCTTGAGTTGTTGTGTGTGGTCAGTGCTAGCTAGATGTTTGGCCTTTAATTGTGCTAATTAAATTGGAAATGGACTGGTTTATTTCCAGTTTACTATGGTCAGTTGCCTCCATGTATTAGTAAATTACAACATTCATATGCAAATACGAGATCTTTGAGGTCAGCTGATCAGAGCTTGCTGGTGGTATTGGTCCAGGTTAAAGATAAAAGACGAGCCTAATTTTCTACTCTTCATTTATCCCAAGAGAAGATATTATGGCCACTGCAAGCAAGCAAATTTAGCTCTCTGCTGCAAAGACACAAACGAAAAAGTCATGGGAGTCTCTATCCCTCCTTACAGTGACAATTTTAAACTTGAAGTTGTCTACGATACAGTAAAATGTACCCCTGCCCAGTGTCATGCATCCATGCCCCTTCTGCAAGAGCATAAAGTTTATATATACTTTAAAATATTACTGAGCTGCATCCTGGTGAGTTATTACTGCAACTCAATATTTATAATATTTACATTAAAAAAGATCCAAATTTGAATTATTACGTGTGATGTTGCACAGGTGTTGCATACTGTATGCCAGCTGGCAGCTGCCTGGCAGCTACATTAAAGACCCATCTGTCTTTTTATGAACAACTTTTTACTAAGAGATAAGTTGAAAGAAATAAAAACAAGTTCTGTGACAACTCTCAATACCCAGCTTGTCCACGCAGGGACGCAAGCTGAACGATTTGAATGTATATTTGACTGCCAAAGGGACACTCGCCAATATCCGAGAATAGGAAGTTTAAATATCACAAATTGCCCGAAATAAAATTCAACATATCATTCATAGCTTTAGTTTCACTGGTTGAATAAAATATTTTAGTCAACCTTACATAATTTGCTTCTGAAAAATGACCTTCCTTTGGTCAGATGGAAAAATAAATAAAACAAAAGCCCTCCTAACTTCCAATAATAAATTCAACAAGAACGGTGCACTTTTTCACCCTGAAACCTTTCCTGAGTGACAGGATCAGATGCACGCTTAATAACTCAGAGACTCGGTGTGTATTTGGACTCAAGCTCTCCATCTAAAAGGTCTTTCGATTAACTTATATTTCACTAAAACATACTTTACTCGTTCTTATTAAAAGGTATGCAAACCACACACACACACACACACACACACACAGAGTCCCTTTCTGCCATGTTACTCTTCAGCTCTTACAGCAAAAGCTCGTAATTTTCTCATTGAGATCACATGATGCACAGCCGATTTCGTTAACAAATGTGTTTGTTGACAGACCTGAATATTGGAGGTTGCTGTGTTTGTGTATGTGTGGATTTATGCAGGGATGGGTGGGGAGTTTCACCTTGTGGGCATTTGTTGTGTGCGTGTGTGTGTCAGCTCCTTGGTTCCCAGCTGTTTTGCATGTCATCATCTTTACATCTTAACAAACAAATCTTAGACAAATTGTGTGCATTTGCATGCACCTTGTTTACAAGTCAAGTTTCTTGGAGATGAGATCATTTTGGAGAAGAAGGAGAGGCAGGTGCTCAGATTGGAGGCAAATCAGGCTGGACCTCAAGGAGGGAGGTTAACGAGCTCAGACTGCATGTATTCATGTCACATTATTCAGTTAATGCTTTATTCAGTTAATCTTTGCCCTTGATCTGTGACAAATCTTTGCCATCATCATCTCTAGAATGAACTTTTGATAGTTCTCTATTTGTCAATATCATTCTTGATTAACTTGCCAATCAGTCAAATTTCTTTTACCATTTGAATTTGTTTTAGTGAAATGGTGCTGATTTCAAAGAGGATTTTTAAAAAAAAAAAAATTAAAGGATAGTCAAGCTATAAAAACTGACGAATCACTTCACTGTCCCTCCAGAATGTTCTTCCTCAGACGCCACTGGTAGAAGCTACAGTAGATATAAACTTTGACAACTGACCCCATGAATGATTTTCAATTCAAATAGTCTGTCAGATACAAAAAGGTTTGAAACACCAATCACAAAAAATGTCATTCACGTTGCAGTCTGGGATGTCCAAGATATCTTATAGTACGTGCCAGTTTAGCTCAGTGCGTTGAGCAGGCAACCACAAGGCTGAGAATGGCCGGCCAAGGTTCAAGTCTGACCCATGGCCCTTTAGCCATTTGTCTTCCCCTCTCTTTCTCTCCCTCCCCCCACCTTCCTGTCATTTCTTCACTGTATCTGTCAATAAAGCTGAAAAAGACTTCTTGAGCTGGACTCTTGACTTATCTTGATTCCTGGACACGTGCGTGTGTGCGTGGTGCAGAGTCAGGTTTTACAATTTCCTTGTGACCGATTAATGCCGGCTACAGAAGTCTCCACAGACTGGCGGCCAACATGAAATAGCTACACACATATAACAGATTTGACCACAAGCCCAAACACAGCTTCATATCTGCACACTTCCTCGATCGGGGAACGCTGTAACACGAGGTGATGGTGCCCGTGTGAATGAATGTGGTGTTAGTGTCATGAGATAACGGCTACTACCACCTGTCAAACTCTGCCCTGTCCCTTTTTTTCACAACTGAAATGTACCTGCCAGGCAGCGACTGTGCAGAGGCACAAAACAAAAAACATGAGAAGTCACTAATCTGCAAAATTTGACTTTTAAAAACAACAACAAAAAAAGAGATCCAGCAGATCTACTGCTACATTCAAACATCTTCCAGCTAAAAGTAACAGAAAAAACAACACTTCTTCCAAAAAGAAGAACCAAACAGTATTTCAGTGTCTATATATGTAAATGTATGTATAGATATTTGAGGGTATATATCGATATATCGAGGGCATATATCCATATTTGTAAGTGTGCGCATGTGCATTTATACGCATGTGCATTTATACGCATGTGCATTTATACATGTTTATATGCATATATAGTATAAATATTATAATATAATCTCTTGCACTCTCAGTAGACCTGACTCTGACCATCCTAATGAAATCCACTGAGAGCTGAGTCACTCTGACCAGGTAACAAAAGGTTACTTTCTAGATCATGGCTGTCATACTCCTTTTACACTGTGGCCCACACAGAGCCCTGTTTGATCTTAGTTTGATCTCAGTAGATTTATTACCTGGAAAAGAAAACCCTCCAAATCATTCCTTCTTCTGTCTGTGTAAAGACATTTAAGTATACATTAAGTACCTCAGAAAGCAACAGAAACACTCCAACGTGACTCTTTGTTCTCACACTTTAAGAAAGGAGAATGATGATGAAATGCTTAAAAATGACAGAAAGAAGCAGTTTATTTCCCAGACTCTATCCTGCAGACTGACTTTGCTGCAGCATGACCGGGCAGTTGGTGTCTTTGTCGCTAAAAAAGCTTTAAAAAAATACACTTTGAATGATAACATTTATGTCCTTCTTTTTTGCAATTACCACATTATCCAAAGTTATTTAGGGAGCCGAGTTGGGCTCTTTGATGGCCAGGTTCTGGGCCCTGGGCCTTATGTTTGACACTCCTTCAGCCTGAACAGAGACTCCAGGGTCATCCTTTTTTCTGGAAAGTTGTTTCACTCCACTTTTTGACTTCTCTCAACTACCTTTGTGATGTGTTAAACAAAACTGCTGGAGTCCAGCTGTCTGTAACAGCCTTCAGTGAGCTGAGAAAATGTTTTTTCTTTTAAAGCAAATGAATGTTGGCTTGCAGGCAGAAACATAACGCTGTGTTTTGAGTGAAATGATCTGCTAAAAGAACAGTTGGTAAAAACCAATAGCTCGTGCTCCGTGATGCATTTGCATGACGTTTGCATGAAATGCGCCCGCAGCAGCTAGTTATGGCTTTCAAACACACCACTGACCGAGGCGTGGATGGCGACTGCGTTCCTGAAGTGCTCCCACACTGCTGCAGTAAAATGTGCCTGATACATGTTCAGCAAGTTTCCTCTGGATCGGGAAGCCGCTTCCATAAACTTATATAACCCTAGAACAGGGCAACCCCCCTATATTCAGGAAGTGTGTGTGTGTGTGTGTGTGTGTGTGTGTGTGTGTGTGTGTGTGTGTGTGTGGGATGAGGTTAAGGCTCTATTACCACGCCTTAACGCTTTCCACAGGTCATCACGAACAGGACTGTGTAAAAGTGTTGTAAAGTAAAGGAACGGATATCATTTTGAACGATCCGTTTTCTCTCTGTCTGTCTGTCTGTCTGTGTCCATTTTCGGCATTTCTGTGGCCAGGTGGAAACTTAGCAACCCCAGCAGACAAAAAGTACTCAAGGATTCAAACCCCCGACCACGCGTAAAATCAATGGCAGTGCCATGGCGCGCGGCTGCGCATACCCTGGATGTTCTCGGAAAGCCAGTGCGCCTCAACTGTGAAACGCTGCTCATGACTTGAATCCTCTCATGTAGCCACACGTGGCAATGACAAAATGTAGCGTGCTGGATATAATGTATATAAAATTATATATTTGCCTTCTAAAGTGTGCATTTTACTTTCATATGACTAAATGAATACTAGTCGACAGGCGTCAGAGCTCTGTCCCACCTGCCACGATACCCGTGGCCAGGTGTGGCCAGGAAGCGGTGAAATGGCAATTGCCGAGCCGTCTCCAAAATCCCCCACAACTGAAAATGAAAACGCCTGGATCCTTCCGCTAGAGGAACAACTTTAAGAGCAAATGTTTTAAAGCTTTTCGTTTGCCCGGAAAAGAACATCTATGACTACAATCAAGATCAAACCTTTGAATGATTTACAGCATGGTATTTGAGAGCATGAGGAGAATGAGGAGGACTCCGTGAAGTCAGTTACCCTCCGAGCTGGTGTTCAGGTTAGTGATGCTCACCTAAAAGCAGCAACTTGAGCTCCCTGCGAGAGTCCTTCTTGTCCCTCCGCAGCTGCTTCTCAATCTCCTCGTTGATCCTCTGGTTCTCTCTCTCCTCCGCTGAAAGACAGCATCCAGCCATCGCTGAAAGTCACCAGGTTGCTCTCCAACGACCACTCGGCTGTAAAAATGTCGCAGGCTTTGATTAAAGACAGAAAAAAAAGAAAAAGGAAACTCAGACGTGTTAAAAAAATACTCCTTTGCCCCCTCTTGCACTTCACAACTTCAGACGCAAAAAGGCACAGAGCATCTTCAAAACTGCGCCTTTGACTTCCACAGAAACAGAAAAGTTTGCTGCTAAAATATAAAGTGCTAGATTTCAGGGGTAAGTCCAAAGCTCTCTCTCTGTTTTACTTAAGCATCGAGGTGTACAACAAGGTGCACCACGAGCTGTTCCTATTGGACAAAGTGCTGCAG